CTCGCCTACCTATGAAGATAACAAATATTTCATAATTTATTCTTGCAGGCAAGGCTATATTTTTCTTTCAGTGACAGACACATGGGTGAGCCCATTAAAAGCTGGCTGCTGACTAACTAGCACAGACAAACAGAGGAAAAAAGCCCTATATGCCAAGTGTACTCAGCTGTGTGTTTGCTGTCTGATCCACTGCTGCAGAGCATGCTACATGCCATTTGCTTTGTTCAGGTGGGTGACTGTGAGAACAAGAAAGGAAGAATCCAAGCCAATGAACAATCATGTTTCCTACTTATGTTCTGTCTTGATCTTTCTTTTAAGTATATATTTTCACTTCTTTATGCTATACCAGCTGTATATGTGTTTCAAATCAAGAAAAATCATACACGGGAATTTCTTCAGAAACCAGAGGTCCATACCATAGGTTTGCATTAAGCAGATCAAGTTACTAGATAAACTTTGTATATTTTGGTGGAGCAGGATCAAAAGCTGGTTTGATATTTTGTAATGCCACTTAACTCCTCACTGTCACGGATGCACAAATGAAAACAGTAGCAACTGAGCAAACTCAGAAGAATTTCGGTACATTATCTTGTAATTGTCATCAGCAATATTGCATTCCTATAAACAATTTTTCATGTATTATGATGGTGTATGACACAGAAGGATGAATTATGGTATCCAAGAAAAAAAAAAGCTTATTTTTTCACATTATTAAAGTTGCAGAAACAGCTGCTTGTGTCATGGGGCTCTGTTACTGGCTTCTCACTTTCAATATGCAATTAAATGTCGAAGAATCATTTAAAACTACCATTTAACTGAGGCAAAAAAATGCATGGAATAAACTTCAACTGCGAATAGATAGCAGGACTATTCAAATGAAACTGTTATCGATTACAAATTATTAACCCCAAATTTGGAAAGGTTCTTTGTGGTAAGAATGATTTGACAGAGTAAAACCTAAAGGATTAAACTTGAGCCCCAAATTACATGTATAAGAAATAAAGCATAAAAGTAGCTGGTAAAAGCACTAGCAGGGAACTAAAAGTCCACTTTAAAAGTTCCTAATAAATGTAGTTACTTAAGAAACGTGATGACCATAAGCCCAATCCTACCAACTTCTCTTTGTATCAGTAGCCCCATCATTTAACTGAGAGTAGTCATGGTGTAAGCCATGCCTCTGTGCCTAGACTAGCTTATGTAGCAGTGACAAGCTGCAAACTGTGGTAAAGAAGTAACAGGAAAAGGAGCTAAGCAGCCCTCCCTCTCTACTTTTCCAAGTTTTCCAAGCAGACAAGAGATCTAGTTCCATCAAGTTCTAAAAGTTTCAGTGAAATTTAAAAAAAAAAAAAAAAAAAAAATCAAAAAAAAAACCAATCAATCAGAGAGAACATTTATTAAAATATGAAAAACAGCCAATTATAAATATTGGGCATAAGCTAAAAAAACTTCAGACTTCTATGAACCTCAGTGAACCAACTCAAGTCCCCAGCAGAACAGAAAAGCTGGGCCAGTGGACCCATCTCTTCCCTGGATCCAAGGCTATGTAAGCATTGTCTTTATTAATACAAATAAGTCTTTGCTGTTGTATATCCTAATAAAGCTTTCGAGTTATGATTGGAATGGTCTCACTGGTCAATCAATCGATCTCCTCCCAACCACCATAAAAGTTTAGCGTAACAATTGGGGTAACAGTGGCATGGGGAAGAATTACCCATTTGAGCACAGACACCATCCTCTTTTTTCCTAAACTTATTTTCTTCAAGTAGGCTGATAGCCTGAGACTCATTATCTATCAGCATGCACATCCTAGTATTTTTAAAGGGTACGAAACTAGGAAGGCCTCAACACTAATGCAGACATCAAGCAGCTCTTAGGCTAGGGACAGAAGTTACACATAAACCAGTTCAAGTGATCAGAAAGTGATTTAAACCTGTAATAGAACAGAAGTTCAGTGCACAGAAACCAGTTTCAAAATGGCTGAAACTGGTTTAAGGTAAACCTGGTTGAATGTAGCAGACTTAACTGATTTGGGTCAAACCGGTTTATGAAACTTCTGTTCCAGACCCCTTCCTGGTTCAAGTTAAATCAGAGTCCCCCAGCATCCCAGCATGCTTTCCAGCCCTGGACTGGGCTGTGCTATCTGCTCCAGAGAGCAGGGCTGGCCCTGTCCCTCTGCTCCCTAGCTGGAGCAATGAGGGCTAGCTCACTGGGCCTCCCAGGCAAACCTTGCCTGGAGTCTGGGGCCAGGGATGGGGGGTTAAACTCACCTTCCCCCAAGTACAGAGCAGCCCTGCACTGCTGGCTTACTTAGTACTGGCTGCGACTGTAGACCAGAAATCTCAGAGGCACCTGGAAGCAGGAAGAGGAAGCGATGAGCAACCCTATAGAGTCCTAACGCTGTTATTATGGACTGCAAGTCCCACAGACCTCGAAGGCAGCAGGAAGATGAAGCAAGCACACAGCCCATGCTGGCTATGTGCCAGAGAGGCATGCTCTAGCACTCCCCCAAGCTTCTGGCTTGAGCCACTACAGGCATACATCTGCATTTCCTGATTCACAAGTGAATGTTGGTTCATTTGCTTATTGGTTCAATCTTTGCAGCTTATACTAACCTGCAAAGACTGAATCAATTCAGCCTCAGGCTTTTTGACTGTCTGTACTTAGCCTTAGAGATCCTGTTTTCTAGCTGACCAATGTAAACAACAGAAAACCACCAAAATCCTCCAGCCCTACCCTAATATACAGTGTATCATCACAACAGTATAATACATAATCAGGATTTCTTTACAGTAATGCCAATTGCTAAAACAAATAGAAAACAGTCGCAAATACCTCAGGAGTTCAAAGTATAGGTTGACAAAGTATGGCTGATAGTAGCATCAGAATTTCTTCTACAAAATCTGTGGAACATCTCACCTTTATCTACTTTCCTTTTTTGCATGGGTGTCCCCCTTCCTGCCCCAGTCCTATTGTTAAAGGATCTATGAATATCCCTTTGACAAGAAGTTTTATGTGTTTTAAGAATCGGCAGTCCAGTTCTATAAGGTATGTACCTCAAAATCAATGTATTTGCCCATTTCAAGTAAATGGCACATAAGTAGTACATAACCTATAGTTACATTTTTTTTAATATTGTACGGCACTGATGATGGGGAGGAGATGAAGAGAAACACTACTGTTTTTAAAGACACGTGACGTTTTTCAGCAAAATCTTTTACTATAGCCTTTTTGAACTAACAAGAAAAAATCAATAAACAATATATAAACAAACTATTTAATGTAGTACTCTGAATAAGGTCAACGCATAAAATATATACTTTACATGTATAGATGACTGTGTTGTTTACTTCCTATTGTTTGCAGAATTTTACCCATTAGAAACTCCTGCTCCTAGTGATCACTGAAAAGATTAACGCATATAGTATGTAGCAAAATTAATTTTAAGTGATACATTATCAATATTTGTTGTACTAACCTACATTAATTTTCTCCCATCTTCTTGATTTAATGGTCTCTTGTGCCCAGCTTCCCACCACTACACTAGATCAATTGAATTCCTTTCCATCCTGGTCACCATGCTCATTCCCAGGGATGCCATGCTCCAGTGCACTTCAAATATTTTCATGAAAAATCAAGAGTAAGTACATGCTGAACAGCTAATGATGCAAGGAGGCTGAAGTGAAAGCATAGCTGATGTTTAATTCTCTCCAGCTAGTGGCTTGAGATGCTCAAAGAAGGCTGTTTGTGCAATGTATGGCCCTTATTATAATATCCATGTTCCTGGACTAATGAAGTGTAACCTCCTTATGATTTCATATATCTTCACTAAAAATGTTACCATTTTGCAAAGATAAATATAATGTTTTCTTTTTCTTAATGTTAGAATATTAAGTCTTTTTTCAATTGGATTGCCAATAAAATTGGATAACATTAGCACAATAAAGCACAGGATCAAAAATTAGAAATTAAACATGTCACTATTAGACTTAATTTGATCAAGTATACATCTACATGTTTTCACTGCACAGCCAGAGCCAGACAAGCTTATTTAAAAACGTGGTTCTACATACATATTCTCACTTGTGATACTTTATTGCAGATCCTCTCTCAAAGTAGTTCTTTTTTAAATAGCCAGAAGAACAAAGAGATGAGTGTTCACTAGAATATAAAACCTTTATCTGAGTGTATAGTTCTAACTCTGCACACCTTTTGAGAAACAGAATTTGAAATGTGGTGCTAAGATTAATCAAACAACCATACTTGAGAGGCAAAAAACAAATCTAAATATCAAACTGCCCTTTTTTAATCCTTGCACAGTTTTGTGCAGCACACAATTGTAAACCAAAATACAATATATTAATTAGATAAATCATTTCTATTAGAAAATTTTAATTTAGGCAAGATCCAACTTATTTTTTCTTTTAATTCTTTTCATTGTTGCAAGAAGAAACGGGGTGATTCACAATAAAATACAACTCTTTCAATATCTTTGTTCAATAAAATAAGTACAGGATTCATGCTGATTTCTTTAGTTACAGTATAGCTCACGTAGAGAAGATACACAATTCTAGCTGATAACAAAGGGGAATACACACTGTTTCTGATTTAATGAAGAAACAGAGCATTTGCAATTTTTGTTTTGAACCACTCAACTGGTTGTTCTGAAAATGATTATTGAAAATACTTGCTTGGTACTGGAGAAAAAAAAACAACAACTACAGATATGCTTGCAGTGATCAACACTCCTGTAAAACCATTATGGAGCAGGGCATCTGAAATGAAAATCAGGCACCATATACATGGGATCCACTAGTGATCAGAGGAAATGTGTGAATGCATTTAGGGCATGTCGTACAGATGTGATGACTCTCCTGGCATTCCATAACTAATGAACAAAGAGCATGTAAAAATGGAAACAGGTGAAAAATTAAATGTGGCACTGCAACAAAAATGTAGATCTCTTATAAGACATAGCCTTCCAGAGAGGAACAAAGATTTACCTTTCTCTCATGACTAGTGGGTAGTCCCCCAGGGGCATTCTGTTTGAGGAAGCCTGCTGTTGTGGACCATCTTGTAGGATTTTTTCGTGAAGGCTCTTCTGCAGGAAAGTTTGTATCACACACAGAGGTTGAAAGACCAACCAATGCAGGATCACTACTACGCCGCACATGGAGAGGCATATCTGAAATAATAAAAAAAGACCAGAAATAGGCATTCTGTAGGTTCCTCACACAAAAATACACTTCAAAAGGTATGAAAAGCTAGTTGCAACCAAGACAAGGTTGAACAGAATGGCTAGCTGTTGACCCCAGCCAAACTCCTAGTGCACAGGTGTTTTCCAAATACCATAATCAATTCATCACTACTTAGAGGAATCTGGGGGAAGCCTTAAACTGAACTGGTCCAATGAATGAATTATATGAAGTCACTTTTTGGTTTTCTAAACACAAATAAAGTATTCTTAATACTTGTTGGTTTACAAGATTAAACTGTCTAAGAGCTGTCATTTTGAGGTAACTTAGGGTTACCATATACCCAGGATTTTGTGAAAATTTCCTCTTTTGGGGTCTTCTGATCTCCACCAGGGTGTTTTTTTTAAATATGAACAAGCGTCTGAGATTCTGCCCTGCTAGTCCTTTTTCAACATTGATGCTAGTACGACTGTATTTCCTGGACTGCCCTAGCAGCATGCATGATAACCAGGGATCTGGATTTTCCATTTGCTACAGAAAAATGCAGATTTTCCTCTTTAAATGAGGAAATGGCAGACTTCCCCTTCCAGACAGTGCAGTGGGAGCAGCCCCAGCAGTTGGATGCAGGTATGTCTATGGGAAGTGGGGGTGGAAGGGCCAAAGCCTAGGGAGTGTGTACATGGGTGCGAGTGTGCATATGTGTAAGTGCACATATGCATGTCAGTGGTGTATGTTGGGGTGTGCCTCCTGGTACTGGGAAAAAGTGGCTGGGCACTGGGGCTGTGGTGTGGCAGGAGGAGCGAAGAGGAGGGTTTTGCCCCTCCAGCAGGGGAAGAGGGTAGGAGCGCCCTTCAGAGACAGCAGGAAGCTGTATGGCTGGACCGGTAGCACCAGGGCCCATGCCCATAGGAGAGGGGCAGCAGGGAGATGCTGCCCGGCTGTGGTCAGGCCACCTGGTATGGCACAAGAGCCCTGTGGTGGGTGCCACAGGCTTCTCCTCCTCCTCCTTCCAGCCCCGCTGAGGCCAGACTCAGCGCACTGCTGCCCACATGAGCCAGAGCCACCGCAGCTGCTGAGCTCCAACCTGGTCAGGACAGAGGCAGCTGGGGGTCCTCTCCGGCAGGGCTGGGGGAGCAGGGGGCTGTGGCTCAGGAGCAGGAAGGGCTGCCAGGGTGGGGGGGCTGTGGGTTGGGAGTGAGGGGTACTGGCAGGGCCGAGGGTCTGCAGGTCAAAAGTGAGGGGCAGCAGCAGGAACCAGGGCCTGCGAGTTGGAAGTGAGGGGTACCAGCAAGGCTCAGGGGGATGGGGGCTGTGGTTTTTTGTTTTACTTCTAAAATTTCTGAGGCAATAACACTTGTTATTTACTGTAACAGTTAGAAACTGCCCCCTCTCCCCTCCACCCCCATCATCATATACTCCCCTGCCCCCAAAAGGTGTCGCCTTTTTCGAACTGGAAATACAGTAACCCTAGGTACCTGAAAGAATAAATAAAAGTTGTATGAGTCACCAGACTAAACCTTACAGCCTGAAGCCAGTACATAACAACAAGGTAGGAGCACCGTGTTTAGGAGCAATGCCTTGTTGAACCAGGTACCCTTTTCTCATTTGCTAGGAAAAGGAGAGCGCTGGGATTTTTATTAGGATGCTGGCACCACTTCTCATATAAACCTCCAGCTAATAAATACCCAACATTTGAAACCTCCCAATCCTCTTTGCCCACCAAAAGGAAATTTTTTTTTTTTTTGTCTCCACCAATCCCCACCCCCTCTCTCTCCTCTCAGTCAAAAGTTCCTTTGCTATCCTTTCCCCAACCTGGCTTCTGAAGCAGGGGAGGCATTGCTTTTAATACATCCTAATTCCCCAGCCTTTAAGCTGGCAGGAAGAAAGTGTTTCAAATTAATGATGCACCAGGCAGACAGAACTGCAGAAAAGACGTGTTTTCCTCTGAACTGCATTCTTGAGTCCTTTGTGGTGCATCAAACGAGGTCCTTTCTTCAACATCACTCTCTTCCACTAGTTCCAGCTTATTAGAACTACAGGGAGACTGGAAGATCTGCTGTACCTTCCTTTCCCTTCTCCCCAGATAGTAGTACCTACTTCTGTTGCCACTCAACCCTTTCCTACCGAACAGCAGAATGAAATGGATACTAATTCTTTCTACTTCTTTACTTTTGTTGTTCAGAACCCTATACAACTGGTAAAAAAGCAAACTCACTCAAAACTATGAGCTTTGCAGACCTTGGAAAAAAGTAGTTTATATTTGGTCCACACCAAGGAGATTATTTTTTGTTATAAAAAAAGATTAGCACCATTAACAATTGTATATAGACATTGAGAGCATGTGTCCTTCATATTCAGCAAAAAACTCAACAGCGTAGGTTCAACGAGTTGATTATCCAACCTCTATTGTGTCACAGAAATGCATAGACAGATACAGGACATGCCACACAATTTATAATACTGGAATAGTTTACGTATTAGAATATGTATTTAGCAACATGACTTCTTGTCTTTATAAAAAAAGGAAAGAAAAGAAAAGTAGCAGCATTCGGCAATACCCAAAACAATGCGGCAATAATAGCTTTTAAAAGCATCCTACTGGGGAACAGAGCAAAAAAAAAAAATTGAAATCAATATATACTTTTTCATGATCACATTTTTTTCTTTTAAAAACACTTAAAATTTTATTACACTCCAAAATATTCACAATTGTTATACTTCCATAAAGATATGAATGCTTCTTCATGATGTACAGTATTTAATAAAAATGAAGCAGAAGAGAAGTAATTAGAAGTATATTTCAAGTGTTCGTTAATTCTAAAGAAAAACCTGTCTGCCTTGAATTTACCTTACTAATATTGACTAATTTCTGTATACAAAATATGTATATGCCCCCATGACTTATTTCAGGTTTTTGTTAATTTTCTAAACTATATTGTCTTTGAAAAACTTCATCTTCAGTAAGCAGATGAAGTAAAGCACCAAATTTCCTCTAGATAGTAAGCATAATAAAAGAAACACTATCAGATCCCAAGAGGTCTGTATAACAAAGATGACACAGCTGCAGTCACAGGCAACAGCATCACAAAGCATAATGAAGTGACCACATTAACCGAAGAATATCAGTTCTTGTCCTAACTCTTAACATCAACTCTCATTTATTAGATTAGCCTGGCCTGTAGTATGGAGGGGTGCCACTTAAGAAAAGTGCCAATCTATATTTCTGTTCCAAGCAGCAGTCACCAGAAGACACTTACCAAGTGTGCTTCAACTATCCATCAATATCTAGCCCTACTATATATACATGGTTATAGTTTCCAGCCGTATAACCACCATTCACTTTAAGAAATATCTGAGACTAAGATATTGCTAGCATAATGTCTCCTATCTTTATCTTCTACCCCCAAATTACATCATGGTGGATTGGGCAATGAACTTTTGGGATGAAGCTGGATTGCACACATAGAAGACGAAATTGAAATCATATAATACTTTCTGAAAGAGCTGGCAATTAGCACTTTATTATTTTACTTTATTTTTGCAGCTGAATATGTGACAGATCATACTTTGCTAAATAGGGGTGACTTTTCAAAATAAAGAAAGCCTAACCAGGGAATCACAGATTTCACAGACTTTAGGGCGGGAAAGGACCTCGCAAGATCTTTGAGTCCAGCTCCCTGCCCAAGGGGCAGGAAGTCAGCTGTGGTCAAATCACCCCAGCAAGATAAGCATCCAAACAGTAAGAAAAGTAAAAAGTATGAATGGTATCAGGCATGTATATAAATCAATTCTCAAATGAATTTTAAATCCACAAATTTCATTTTAAATTTATAAACATATGGCAGCCTATGCACGTCTGTAAATGCCTCAGAACACGAAAAATAACAATTCATAGTTTGAAAAGGTGAAAAAAAGACTTCAGAATTTCATCTACCACAAACATGGGCGTACGCCAGCACAAGATCCTGCCCGCAAATCCAAACTTCACCAATACAATGAATTATGGAAAATAACTGGTTAAGCACATATTGAAGACATCTCCAAGTTATATGGAAAGGTAAGTATTAATATATGATACTATTCTTGTATTGCTGGAATGTGGCTGGCACACAGAAATAGGTTTTGCACACAATTCTTATTAATGCACTACATTTCGACACTACTAATCCAATAGATTATGTTTGTACTATAATAAATCACACATAATAAGTATCCCCTTGTACTCCTTTCTCATAGTGACATTTCAAAAACTTCACCAACTCAGTTTTGATTCAGTCATAAGAGAATGAATTCGATAGACTTTTATATTTAAATATTGTTGGTTATAATTTCTGGTTTACTTAATTTATAGATTTCAAAAGGATATACTCTGAAATCTTAAAAGAAAAAAAAAAATCAAAGAAAAAGAGCTTCAATAATTAAACCACTAGATGAAGTGCGCATGGGACCAATGCAATGTCACTGATTCCAGTATGACTGCTGATAGCTTTTGATGTCTGTGGTTTCTTTGAAGAGTGGATAAAACAGCAACGAACTCTAATCACAAGGCTTCAAATTCTCTGTGGCACTAATGCACTGTAAATATTGATTTGCTTCTGCAGCAAAGGTGCCTTTTAAATAAGCACTAGAAATGGTAAATCTAATAATGATTTACGGAAAGTTTTAAATGTCAAAGAACTGTGAGAAAAATTAAATTAAAAAAAAAATCATAAGAGGTGTCACTGAATCAATGTTTCTGCCATATTTAGGGAGCTTAAGTACTGAGGCTACATCAACTCCTAAGCTGCCACTTAAATAGAGGCTGCACAAACCAGGCTCTTATTTGACTCTTAGGAAACGTATGTTCATGGCCAATTAAAAAAAAAAGAAAGAAAGAAAAAGAAAACCAACTCATTTGATGGGTTGGAACCACCCTAGATTAAGAATTATTTCTGATTGGAAGTCACTTCAAAAAAAAGGTAACAATAATTGTGCTAGGAATTCAAAAACC